AGCCCAGGAGACCCCACCCCAATCCAGCCTCACAACTCCCCTCCCCAGAATGTCACTGCCAACCACCGGATCAATGATGCTATCGCCAATGAGGACGGCCCACAGGTTCTGACAGGACGGTTTATGTATGGGCCCCTGGACATGGTCACCCTGACTGGGGAAAAGGTACGAACCTAAGGGACATGGGACACTACAGGTATGGAGAATGGGAGGCCAGGGTGCAGCCAGCTCCTGACCGGCCTGCCGGGCTCCCAGGTGGACGTGCATATCATGATGCAGCCGCCCTCAGGCGAGTGGCTCTACCTGGACACACTGGTGACCAATGGCAGCGGCCGTGTCTCCTACACCATCCCTGAGACACACCGCCTGAGTGTGGGCGTCTACCCCATCAAGATGGTGGTCAGGTAAATGCCTCTGCTGGGGCAGGTGGGGCCGGGAAGAAGGGGCCCCGCTTGGTTCTGACATGCACCCCGGGCCCCTGCCAACAGGGGAGACCACACATTTGCTGACAGCTACATCACGGTGCTGCCCAAGGGCACAGAGTTTGTGGTCTTCAGCATTGATGGTTCCTTTGCTGCCAGCGTGTCCATCATGGGCAGTGACCCCAAGGTGCGGGCCGGGGCCGTGGACGTGGTGCGGTGAGTGGCCCTGAGGGGCATGATGGGGTTGTAGCAAGATGGGCAGCCTTAAGTGCTCCTGCAGGCCAGGACCGGGGACCCTGGCTTGGCCCCTGTGCCTTCAGGACCCTTATTTGGAGCCCAGCACCCACACTTATAGGCTATGTCACCTTGGGTGAGTGATTTGACCTATTGGTGATGCTCTTTAATCCATCCTGGAGAGCGAGGCTTGTTAGACCAGTATCTCTGGCAGATGGCATCTGTGCAGGTAGGACTGACCACAAAGCTCCTAGAACCTGCTCCCCAGTGTAGACACTCATGAGAGCTTACTGCTGCCACCATCTTTGCCGTCATCAGCGTGTCACTGAGCCCACTCAGAGAAGCACTTTATAGTGGCCCCAGGGGGCACTGGATGGGCAGGAGACAGGGAGGCCCAGGGGGAGGACTGGGCAGCCATGGAACACCCAGGCCTGCCCCTCATTCCCAGGCACTGGCAGGACCTGGGCTACCTCATCATTTATGTGACGGGCCGGCCTGACATGCAGAAGCAGCGAGTGGTGGCATGGCTGGCCCAGCACAACTTCCCCCACGGTATAGTGTCCTTCTGCGATGGCCTGGTACATGACCCGCTACGGCACAAGGCTAACTTCCTGAAGTTGCTTATCTCTGAGGTGAGTTCCAGGGGGACCAGGGCAGGGGCCAGGGTTGGAGCAGAAGGGCCATGCCTGTGCCTATACCGGTTTCACCCACAGTTGCACCTGCGTGTGCATGCGGCCTACGGTTCCACCAAGGACGTGGCAGTCTACAGCTCCATCAGCCTGTCCCCCATGCAGATCTACATTGTGGGCCGGCCCACCAAGAAGCTGCAGCAGCAGTGCCAGGTGAGTAGGTGCATCCTGGGGCTGGGCACAGGCAGGCAGTTCAAGACCTTGACAACCCATCCCCTTCACCACTCTGCAGTTCATCACGGACGGTTATGCAGCCCACCTGGCCCAGCTAAAGTATAATCACCGAGCACGGCCAGCCCGCAACACAACCACCCGCATGGCACTGCGCAAGGGCAGCTTTGGACTGCCCGGTCAGGGGGACTTCCTGCGCTCCCGAAACCACCTGCTCCGCACCATCTCTGCCCAGCCCAGCGGGCCCAGCCACCGGCATGAGCGGACACAGAGCCAGGCAGACAGCGAGCAGCGGGGCCAGCGCAGCATGAGCATGGCAGCCGGCTGCTGGGGCCGTGCCATGACTGGCCGTCTGGAGTCAGGGACAGTCACGGGCCCCAAGTAGGGCACCGTGAGTTCTGCACTGGGGTCTCCATGGTGCTAGGCCAGGGTGGCCAGCCCCGCTGGGAGGCCTGGCCTGGGCACACATGGGCACTGGGGCAAGCACAGACATGGGCCGGGGAGCTTGTCCCAGGGCCCCTCAAGGACACAGGCCATGCCACACAGTCCTCCCAGCCTGCCTCATGTTCTAAAATCTGAGGGGCCCAGCTTGTGAAAGCTGGTGAGACCATCAGCCCCAGGATTATAGAGGGACCAGGACCCCCATGGAGACTGGCCAGGCTCTCTTGGATTTCTAGCCCAGTGTGGTCTCCCAGCATCCTGGTGCCAGATATGGGCCAGGGGCCAGCCTGTGACTTCCCTGCCACCAGCTCACCTCACCCCAGTCCCTTCCCATTTGGTAGCAGCTCCATCGGGGTCAGCCTGCTTCTTGTTAACTCGGATGACTCAACTGTTCAACCTCACTGGTTTTGCACTGATTTTTAAGAGTGGAGACCCATTGACACGCATGAAAATTGAATATTTGTTGACCCAGGACCTAGGACCACACCAAGGCTCCAGTGTGACAAATCCTTCTGCAAGCAGGAAAGAAAGGCCATTATCTTAATTTCTGCAGTCCTGGACCCCTGCCCACCTGCCCGCTTGCCCAGCTGGAGCCCAGTATGGCCTCAGGCCTGGAATCATTTCTAGCCCTGGGCACAGCCCAGGCGTGAGGCTGGTAAAATCCAGCCTCTTCTTCCATGCCTTGCCATCAGCCGAGGCCCCTGCCATGGCTGCCTGCCCACGTTTCTACGCCTTTCTACTTCTCAATCTGATTTCTATGAGGTTTTTTTAAATAAGCAATCCTTGGCTGCTTCCTTTTCTTAACTCTCTCAGTACCAAGTGCAGCCCTTCCACATTGAAAACACCCAGCACTGTGATGGAGTCCAGCCTGGTTCGGGGTCCCGTGGGCCCTGCCTGCCCAGCGGGGCATGGGCTCCCTGCCTCACCTGACGCCGGTTAATCCCACTGAATTTCTACTTGGGGTGGGTGGGGCACACATAGGTTTTTTAAATGCCAATTCCGTTTCGATGCCGAATCTAAGAAGCCACAACTTGCTTTGTCAGCTTTCAGGCAGGCAGTCCGACCTCGTTTCTCACCTGAACAAGGACTGTGCTGTCCTGCATACTAGTCCCAGCATCAGCCCTCCCTCCCCGGCCTGAGCATGGCCCCACTGCTCTCCACCTTCCCGGAGGTGAGAGAGTCTGCCTGGCCTCAGCCAGCTGTCCAGCAACCAGGTTCTGCCCTGAGAAGCTGAGCCAGCCTGGATCGGGCCTCAAGGCTGGGTGAATGGAGCCAGGGAGGTGCCTGGATTAGTGTTAACTTTCTCGCCGTGTGTAGATATGTACAGCCAAAGGGTCATGTAAATGTTCTGCAAAAGTGGGTCTATACAGAATGAAAGCTATTTATTTTGTGCAGAGAAAAATTTCTGGAGGGATGGAAGCTTCAGGGTTTATTCGTATTTAAGATGTAGCTTTTTGTTTTGGGCGTTATGTATAAAGCAACAATTATTTTATGGACCAAGTTTTCACATAACTGTTGCAGTGGAAGTGCAATATCTGACCCTTCTGCTCAGTGGGAAGTTGCTTGGCCCGACAATCACAGCCCCGGCCAGGGGTCCCTGTGGCCGGTGCTTCTCCAATCCCAGTCCTGCCTCACCCTCTCCTGCCTATGCCTCAGTGACCAGCCATCTGGAGAAGCACCTGGAAGAGGCTTGTGCCTCCTGCAGTAAGGGTCAGGAGGTCCTGTGGGCAGTGGGCTTGGCCTCTCCCCAGAGGCAGCTCTCCTCAGCCCCATGCTCCCCGCCTGCCTGCCCAGCCTCCAGCCATGCCAAGGACAACAGCAATAGTCCCCTGGGACCCTCCCAGCGGCCTTTAGCCATAGGTGGTGAGATGGGCAGCCCACCCTCCCCACAAAGTCTCTCTTCTGTATCCAGGTCTGCTTCCTGCCTCCCTTAAGATTCCTTTTGGCATGTTCTCTTGAGGAAGGCACTAGTTTCTCAGACACTAAGAGTGGGAGGGCAAAGTCCTTTACAAATACCAAAAATGTTTACAGTGTTGGGTGCTGGGCCCTAGGGCTCAAGCCTGACCAGTTATAACCAAAGGGTGAGGCAGGCCTTATTGACTGCCACCCCCACCTGGGCCTGTTAGAATAGAAGCCTTAGTCCCAACCCCCCTTTCCCTCACACCCCTGGGCTGAGCCTCAGCCCACCACCCAGATCCTGCCACCTGCCTTCTCTTTGATTTCTAAAGAGGGATTCAGCAGAGCCCCCATCCCTTCCTGGCTCAGTCTGAGCTGCCTGCCCACCCCATCACAGTCGTCACATCTTGGCTCCCTCCTGTCTGTCCAAGTGTCATCTGTCTCTGGGCCACGTATGAGCAGTGTCCTGACTCTCCCAACCCATCCTTGCTGTCTCTGCATCCCTGGGCCTGAGTGTGCTCTGTATACAGCGTCATTGTCTGTTACTCCAATTAAAGAAGCAGGAAGGCTTCCTTTTGGGTCTTTTTACTGTGTGGGCAACTGTAGGGTGGGGGTAGGGAGTGGGGTGTGGGACAGGGGCTGTTGTGGTCAGAGGCTGCTCATCCTGATCCCTCATGCCAGCTGTTTAGACATACTGGAGTGGGGCTGGCTTTGGAGCTGGCCTGCTTCCAGCCCCTCATGCAGGAACTCAGTTCCATCCTCAAAGCAGCCCAGTGAGGCAGTGCTGTCAGTTTCTTCTCTTCAGAACACACAGCTATGAGCCAGAGCCAGGCCTCCCACCCAGGCCACCTAGCCTTAGCACCTGGGCTCTCAACAATTGTGATCTGTGGAATATACATGGCAAAGGAAATCACTGTTCTCCAAGCCCAAGTAAATTTAATATTCAAAAGCCAGGACTCTGGGTGTGGTGCTTAGGGTCTGGTATAGGTGAGCTGACTTGAAGAGGGCAGAGGCCACTGGTGTTGCCTGGGTTCACTACCACCGAGGACACCCAGCTCTCCCCACAAGCTCCTGGGGCCTTGGTTTTTCCCTAGAGCCCAGGTAGCAATCTCCCCCCTCCCCAGCACAAAAAGCCACAGAACAGACATCATCTATAACCAAGGACCTTTAATATCTGGGAAGCTTCCCTCTTTCAGGTAAGGGTGCTGAGTAAGCCAGTGAGCCTGTCCACCCCCTGCACTCGAGAAGCTGAGCTGGGCCAGAGGCTAAGCTACAAGAAAAGGCAAATGGCACCCAACAGGCTTCCTGTTGCCACCCTGAGGCCTGCCTCGAGGTCAGGCCACCAGCACTCTTGGTGAGCTGGGGCCCTCAGGGGAGCAGCCCAGCTCGCATCTGGAAGGCCAGGCCGTCCCCTCGGGTGGCTTGCTGGGGAAGAAATACAGAAGGGGGGAACATCAGAAACAGAGCTGAGGGCAGACAATGGGCAAAGGGGTAACACCAACCTTGTTGATCTCTCTGTGTCGTTCTTTGGTTACAATTTCCTCTAAGACCTCACCATCTCCCTTGATGAGCCTGGGGGCAGAGAGGGAGTCCATTAAGCAAGGATTAGGCAGAGCTCCTCATGCCAGAGCAACAAAAAACACCCAGCCAGAGGGATTCCAACACCTTGAGCAAATGAACCTGGGCACTCAACCCCTCTACTTCAGAGACAGGGATGAGGAAACCAAGGTGGGCTCTGCCTTTCCAGCTTCCACCATCAGTCTGGCCAACAGCAGCCCTTGGAAGAGGCTCCTTGAGACCCTTTCTACCTCTGTAAATGCTTACTCTGGGCAACAGGGAAGGAGAGCTGAGGTGCTGCATCACAAGTGACTATTTTTACCCTTCTACAACAGCAGCATCCACTGGGCCTCCTCCCAAGTACATATCTTGGGTCAACACTCCCAGATCCAGTGGTGTGGGGCCGGGCAATGCTGAGGGATACTCACCTGGTTCTTCCTGTCTCGGGGTCCACCACCTTGCGGATGACACTCTGACGGGCATCCCACTCTTCCTTGGTCATGGGCTTCATGGCCTGAATGCGGGACTTCTGCTCGTCCGTCAGCACTGGAAGAGAACATGGGAGGTGGTGGCCAGGCCTTGGGGAGGGGGACTCTTCTCCTTGAGCACACCGGGTACCACAGTACCTGGCCCATCCTCTTCCTCCCCAGCTGATCTGTGCCACTGGTCCAATGAGGGGCCAGGCAGAGCCTCAGCCTGCTGTGCTTCTGTCTTCTCCTTGCCTTTCTTCTTTAGCTTCTTCTTTTTCTTTTTCTTCTTCCTCTTCTTGTCTTTGTGCTTTCCGTGCTTCTTCCGGCCATCGCTGGAGGAAGGGGAGGAAGAGGAGGAAGACGAGCTAGAAGAACTGGAAGAAGAGGAGGAGGAGCTGGATCGTGGTCTCCTCCGGGCCTTGTGTTTGCTTCTCTCTGTGATACAGGGAGAAGGTGAGGCTGGAAGGCCAGGAGCAGAAAAACCAAACCTTAGTCCCCTCGCTCCTGCCCAGGGCAGACTCAGGCTGTCTACAGGGTGAAACCCTCCTGGCAGAGCTTTCACAGCACAAACGACTCTTTCTCTGGAGAAGCACCTTCTAGGCTCCCCAGGTCACTCACTGTTTGCCCCAAAACAGGGCAGCCAGTTCCCATATCTGCCCAGTAGCACAAAGGCATGATTAAGTGTTCCTCTTGCAGGTTTTTCAACCCAGATGCCTGATTTCTCACTCTGATTTCCCCACAGTCAGTGCCAGGAAGCTGGCCTCACCGCCTGTACTGCCTCCGGTAAAGTCGCCGCACCACCTTCCCCAACCCCGGTGGTCCTCACCGTCCACCCCGGAGGTAGTGCTGGCCTTGCGACCTTGGGATCCAGAGGCTGAACAGCTCCTCGAAGCGTCCCTACTACTATTCTTCCTTCTTTTTTCCGACCCTCGCCCCCGGGACCGGCTGCGACTTCGCGAGCGCTTCCGAGAGCTGACGTGAGCCATAGCGCCGCGGGCTGTAGGGGGAAAGATGAGCTTAATCCAAGGCCCTTTTGGGGCGGCCCGCAGAGTGAGCTCCAAGGGCCACTCTACGGGGCCTGGCCCTCGGGACGCCCAAGACCTGTCGCCACCCCTGGGAGCTGCGCGATCCTCTCCCACCCCTACCCTCGAGGACCCTAGCTCCTCTGCCACTCCAGATCCTACGCAGCGGCCCCTTTAAGGATGTGTGCCCACCCGGACGCTCCACGCCCGCACACCTGGATCAGAGTCCGGGGAAACTAGCCACAACCTTCCACCATGGGGGGCGCTTTGAGTCCTTTCCCGCGCGCTCCTACTTTCCACCCCCAGCCCTGCGGAGCCTCCCCGCCTTGAAGGGGCCCTGGGACTATTCTGTCCCCACCTCAACCGCCCACCGGGCTGCAGCGCCAGCCCCGAGCCACGCCTCCGCGTGAGGAAGCGGGGCCAAGGAGGGTTCCGGCCCGGGCGGTGCACTGGAGGCTGTCCGGCTAGGAAGCGAAGCGCTGCTGTCTTTCGTTCCGATGTCCCAGGTTCGAGCAGAGCATACTGGCTTCTGACGCCGAGCCGATGCGAGGCAGTTGCCCACGCCTGCAGCTCGTCGCTCAGACTCGGCCGTGCTCCCTGGTCCCTCACGCCTGTCTTGCTAAAACTGCGCCCTTTTCCCAGACAGCTCCTAGGGGCACGGCCGTAGCACTGCCCCCGCCCTCTTGCCGCCTCTCTCCTGTGCGGCTTGCCTGCCGACCTCTTAGTTCCATCAGACGGTGAGCTACAGGCTGAGACGTCTTTCCAACGTCCCCACCCAGTAATGCAGAGGTCGCAGACTCAAGAGGCCACAGGGGTTGCAGAGATCTTGACAATGAACGAGGGAGTGGACCACAGGCCTGTCTGGAGTGTGAGGCTGTGACTCCACTCCGGATGACCTCTGCAGAGTGGAGATGGGATCTGGTGTTTCCACCTTCCCAGGGAAAATCAAAATGCAAGATATCAATATGGAAATCCCTGGTTTTCTTTTTTTTTTGAGACAGAGCTTCAAGCTGTCCCCCTGGGTAGAGTGCCATGGCATCACAGCTCACAGCAACCTCCAACTCCTGGGCTTAAGCGAGTCTCCTGCCTCAGCCTCCCAGGTAGCTGGGACCACAGGCGCCTGCCACAACGTCTGGCTTTTTTGGTTGCAGCCATCGTTGTTTGGTGGGCCAGGGCTGGATTTGAACCCACCACCTTAGGTGTATGTGGCTGGCACCTTAGCCACTTGAGCCACAGGCACCAAGCCAAGCCCCTGGTTTTCAAACGTGTACCATAAAGCATGGCTGTGCTCTTCATCCCAATCTTCGGGCCACCAAGTTGCAAATTCTTCAATAATAATGATAGCAGCAAACACAGGACTGTTATAAAACACTTTATAAATGGCAGTGCATTTATAAATCAAAAGATTCTTACAACAGATCTAGGAGGTAGCTACTAGGCAGATGAGGAAACTAAAGCACAGAAAGGTTAAGCAGCTCACCCACAACCACACAGCTGGAAATGACAGAGCCAGGATTTGAACCCAGGGAGCCTGGCTCCAGTCCCTGTTCTTAACTCCTCTGCTGTAAGTCTTCAACAGTCATCTAGAAGATGCTATTAGTGGCCCACCCAAGTGGCATCCACTGCTGACAGTTCATTTCTGTACTCTTCTCTGCAGGCTTCCTTCAGCCACTAGGAGCCAGCCTGCTCTGGAGATGGATGTCCAGGAAGTTACTCACCTCTCTCTGTCCTGCCTCATCCTATAGACACTGATGCTGAGGGAAATGTGGCATCATGGACTCATGCTCCAAAGGTCCCTGAGGGCCAGACTGGCCTCCCTCTGCAGCCATAGCTTTGCCCAGTGGCTCCTGCCCTCTGGCTCCTTCAGTCCCTTGAGGCTCCTCCCTCCATGAAGCTCTGCGTCAGCCTCTGCTTCCAGTAAATCACTAAGCCAGCCTGTCTGCCCAAAGAATGACCCAGAAGCCAGCATGTCCATCTGAACCAACAAGTGCAGTGGGCTACAGGGAGTTTATTTTTGCCCTCTCAGTCCAAGGACAAAACCCTCACCTGCCATCCCCCACCACACCCCACAACTGTCCAGACCAGGCTCACGTCAGTGCACACACATCTACTGTGGTGGGTTCCTCTCTGGTAAAGCCATCCCCAAAGCCCTCATCGTCCACTAGATCAGGTTTACGGCAGCACATGGGGCAGAGGTGGTTGCGAACAGCAGAGGCTCGGAGCCAGACAACAAGGTTCCAGCGCTCACCAGTGACCAGAGGCCGGGCACCATGCAACTGGCCACCTCGATGCAGGACACCATGGCCCACCATATGCTGTACCTCCAGGGGCTCCATCAGAGCTGCAGGCGCCTGCAGAGGGCAGAGCTCAGGCCTGGGTACCCACAGCTGCCCCAGGCCCTGCCCTGTGGGTCATGTACTCACCTGGAAGAGGCCCCCAAAGTATAGAGCACCCCCAGTAAAGGCCCTGCCTAGGGGCACATTGAGGGTGAGCTCAGCATTATCGTAGTGGCAGCCCAGCTCACGGTCCTGGCCTGGTGCGTACTTGACCACGAAGGCACGGTGGCTGTCAAGCTGACCGCCACCGCAATCTGGGTACAGCAGGGCCATCAGTGGCTGTAAGAAACGCTCCCGCAGCGGTGTCACCAGAGGCTCATCTAGCCCCAGCTCGTGTAGCAGCACCTGGGAGGAGATCCCTGGGGTTGGTGGGGAGACTTGTAGGGCCTCACACTTAGCATGTGCTAAGGGGCAGTGCCAGGTGGTTTCCATGCATCCCCTCATTCCACCTCACAGTGAACCTTCACAGCATTGTTACCGTGATCTCATCTCACGAATAGGGCATGCAACTTCCTGATCCCAGCTACCCACCCTGGGCCTCGCCTCACCCACCCCATAGTTGTTCATGGTGTTAGGTCTTCCCTTGGGCATATCGGACTGCTCAAAGTGGTCCAGCTCCTCCAGCAGGGCCTGGCAGAATAGTGCTGTGAACACAGGCACCCGGTAGATGCGCTTCTCCTCTGTGGGGGGGTGGGGACAGTCTGTCGGCTGGGAGCACTGGTGTATACCAGAAGGGCTTGGGTTTCAGTCTCCTTGTGAGCTGTAGAAGCCCAAGTCTGTCCTTTCACTTCCTCTCAGCCTCAGTTTCCTCATCTGTACCTTGGGAATAAGGAGGACCCACCCCTATCAGGGCTGCTGTGATTAGGTAATGTGTGAGAATCAGCAGAGACCAAGTCATATGCTGCTTGCTTGGCCCTGGAGCCTCTCCCCTGACTCCAGTGCCCACAGGGCCCCAGAAAAGGGAAGAGATTAGCCCAGGGGCACCTAAAAGGCCAGTGATAGCCCAGCTGAGACCACACAGCCAACATCAGACTCTCTGTACTGACTTCTCGACCTGGAGAGCTTCCAAAGTCTGTACCCCAACCCAGAAGTGTCTCTGGGAGCCTCCTTCCCCACACAGGAAGGCCAGAGAGGCTGCTCTTTCTTGCTGGGCCCTGAGGGGAAGGAGCCAGGCTGAGATGGAACCCTAAATAATTTTTGGCAGGTGCACCAATGCCTAGAGTGCAGGGCTGGTGTGCCCCCTACAGGGCCATCTTGTAACCCAGCCCTCACTCCAGCCAAAGAACCTGGCACAATCTCAACTGCCAGGGAGTGTGAGGCAGTGAAGAGGGTAGCCCCTAGCTAGAAGGGGTCCATTACACCTCTGCCCCCCAACAGAGCATGCCCCCCCCCGAGGGGGGACAACTTTTACATCTGTCCCCATAGGAGCTCCAATCTCAGGAAACAGTAATAATAAAAATAGGAAATGCTTTCTAAACACTAACTAGGCCTCAGGCCCTCTGCCAAGCCCACTACACAATAACTCCATCATCATGGCACTGTAAGAGAAGGGGATATTATTGTTCCCGTTTTACAGATGAGGAAACAGACAGGTTAAATAACAATTTAGTGTTAGCCAATGGGGGACCCCAGTGGGAAATCCAAAGGCAGGAGGAAGAATTGGCATTTCTTGCCCCACTCCTTAGATTTTGAAGGTTAAAGAAACTTCCTGTTCCTTCAGGTCTAGGGGTAGAAACTGCTCCCTCCTATTGCTCACCCTGGGAGGGCTTTGCCATTTCTTGCCAATCCCTTAACCCTGTCCATACCTGTCTCAACTGTCCCTTCATCAGGCTCTTTAATCAGTCCCGAGTGTCTAGTATCCACACCTGATACAAATACCCTCTATTTGTTGGATAAGTGAGTGAATGAATACAGGTGCCCTGCTCCTAGCAGGCTGGTACCCTTGGCCCTTTCAGCCCCTGCTGGTTTGGTTTTTGGAGATAGAGATAGTGGCTAGAAGGACCCCAGTCACCCACACCCAGGTATCCCCAGGCTACTGCCCCCCCAGTCCTGCCAGGCCATGGGGCTAAGACCTCACCTGACACTGTCTCCAGCTGCTGGAGAAGGCCCTTGAGGTCTGCACCTGGGGATGTGCTGTACTGAGCCGCAGCCAAAAACTCAGGAGCCAGAACTGCATCCTGGGAGCAGAACACGCCAGCTGTGAGGCAGGCAGTCCCCCAGCCTGGGCACCACCTCCTCCTACCAGTAAACGCCTTCAAGCCCCCTGCCTGGTACCTGCAGCAAGTTGTAGACCTCGGGCCGTGCTGGGTGATAGGAGCTTGCGATGAGGGCTTTCCTAGCCGCTGACTCTTGCCCCAGCTGCCGCCGCCGCTCCACCTCCTGCTCAAGCTGGATGGCACAATGTTAAGTTACTAGGTGGCTTTCCCATCCTCCTGAGGCCATTGTAGAAATGAGGAAACTGAGGCCCAGGGAGGCCAGGGCAAGACCCAGGCTGGAAGCTAAGTCTTCCTTCCTACATGCCTGAATTTACCAGAGCCAAATGCAAGTGCCAAACTCTTGGCTGAACAGGACTTCTGGAAGGAGATCCATCTTTTTCAGTCTGCTTAAGCCTCAGCCTGGCTGGGATGAGAACCCCTGGAGGCAATAGTCCCCAACCTTTTTGGCACCAGGGACCAGTTTCATGAAAGACAATTCTTCCACAGACAGCAGGTGAAAAGTGTATCAGATTCCCATAAGGAGCAAGCAACCTAGATCCCTTGCATGCATGGTCTACAGTAGAGTTCAAGCTCCAGTGAGAATCTGACACCACCACCGATCTCACAGAGGGTGGAGTTTAGGCAGCAACATGAGTGATAGGGAGTGGCTTCATACAGATGAAGCTTCAGTGGCCCTCTGGCCGGGCACCTCTGAGGCTCAGGGATTGGGGATGGTAGCTTGGAGTTACCTCAACCAACCAGGCTGACCTGGGGAGAGGAACAGTCACAGTCAAGTCCTGTGTTCCAGAGGCTTCTGAGGACTCTCCTGGGAAGCTGGGTTGGGGAGGAGGTTGGAGCTGAGCAGCGGCAGGATGTAAGTGAGGAGTGGAGAGGTATAAAGAGCCTGAGTGCTGGCTGGGAAGTCAGCTCTGCTCACTATGAAACCTTGTACAAGTTAGAGCCTCAGTTTCTAGGCTCAAATGGGTATGATGGTTGGGCCTACCTTACAGAGCTGTTGAGAAGGGCATGATGTAGACCACTTAGCATTTCCCTCTTTCTCCTCCTGCTGCAAGATCCAGGTAAGGGGGCAGGAAGGGAGAAAAAGTAGCCTAAAGAATCCTTCAAGGATCAGGGACTGACAGGCATGAGGCTAGGAGACCCCTCAAATTGCTGACACAAACCTAAACAGGCAGGGCTAGGCTGTGCAAGCTCCAAGGGAGTGTTTACCTCTGCTAACAGCTCCTCGAAGTCCTTGCTGCTGACACAGCCTCGGCTGCGCAGGATCTGGGAGCAGAAAGACCAGTGAACATGACTGTGTGACCTTGGGCAAGTCCCTTAATGCCTCTAAGCCTCAGTTTCCCCTCCTTAAAATGCAGATGAGAACCTCGACTTCACAGGATCGTTCAGAGGATGAACTGGAAAAACCTCGTTCGGCACAGAGCAGGTTTCCCTTCCCTGCTGTTCTAACACTGACACAAAGTCCTACGCCAGGCCCAGTCTCGAGCCATCAGCATATCTGCTCATTCATTCTTTCCTCATAGCCACCTCACTAAGGAGATATCCCCATTTAGGGTGAGAAAACAGGCATGGAGTGGTTAAGTCATTCTTGCTGTATCTGAGTGTGCAAGGCGCGCCGCGGGCGAAGTAGACGACTTTGGGAACAAAGGTACCTCCTTCACTACCGCCACTTCTCTGGAGAGCCCAGAGCGGCCACTCACCGGACCGTAGTCCAGGCGCAGCTGCTGCTCGCCCCGGAAGCGCAGGTGCAGCCCGTAGCGCGCCACATACAAGTTCTCCGTGCAGAAGCAGGCACAGCGGTAGAAGCGCCGCGGGGTCCCCGCCATCGCCACGGTGAAGCGCCGCTCCTTCTAGCCGGCTTCCGTAGAGGCACTTCCGGGTACGACCCCAGTCGCGGGAGGTGTGGATCCGGCGGCCAAGGGGCCGTTCTAACTTCCCAAAGACAGAAAAGAACGAAGACACTCCTAGTCAGAAAACGGTCTGCTTAGGAGAAATGCTCCCGGGCCGGGGAGCATCTCGATTCACGGCTTTCTCGTTCTCCCCTCCTCACAATTTCCCCCCGACCCGAGGCGGGGACTAATGGCCCTACTTTACTGATGTGGACTGACCAGGCCTTCGCAGGACGCGGAGAGGTGGGGACTCGGAGCCCCAAGGCCTTTTACTTAAACGCCGCCCCGTCTTCTGCACGGAGCTTTTGGAGAACCTGCCGACCCCATGTGGAGGACTGAGAAGCTCTGAGAGCCGACCTCGTTCTCGCCAGCTGCTATCATCCACTTGTGTGCGGCTGAACTTGGATTTGACATTTACCCCAGGTCCCTGCTCGGTGCTTCCGGCACCTCCTCCGCGATCGCGGGCTATGCCGCACCTTGCCCCAGTGAGTGTGTCTCATGAAAATACTCGGTCTCGCTGACTTCCGGTGGTGATCCCAAAGGATAGTGGGTGGGCGTGGCCGGGTGTGGGAGAAGAACGGGGCGTGGTCTGCCGGTGGCCATACCCTCCTTCTGAACCAGGTTCAAATTCAGGGCAGCTGCTGTGTGAGAGGCAGCTTAGTTAACGGCTTGTAGGGCTTAAGTCCCGATCTTGGGGAAACCTCTTATCGCATATATACCCAGCCTCGAGGTCCCCATCATTGTCCGCCAAGCACCTGTTAGGCCCAGGTTCGCAAAGTCTTATAAAGAAACTTGGATGGCAGGCTCGGCGCCTGTGGCTTAAGTGGCTAAGGCGCCAGCCACATACACCTAAGGTGGTGCGTTCGAATCCAGCCCGGCCCGCCAAACAATGATGGCTGCAACCACCAAATTTTATATATATATATATATATATCCATCCAGGCGTTGTGGCGGGCGCCTGTGGTCCCAGCTACTTGGGAGGCAGAGGCAGGAGACTCACTTGAGCCCAGGAGTTGGAGGTTGCTGTGAGTTGTGATGCCACAGTACTCTACCCAGGGGAATAGCTTGAGGCTCTGTCTCAAAAAAAAAAAAAAAAGGAAAGAAAGTTGGATGGCAGCCCCTTTGCTCAGATGGAAGAACTAAGCCGCTGAGCAGGGGAAATTGTCCCCTGGAATTAATTCCTGATCCCCTAGAGTTCCCTCCATGGCTCAGGGGGGTGCAGGGATAGAGATGGGAAGGGAGACTCCAGCCCTTACCCCAGACGATACCTGGTTGACCCGGTGTCCTCTCCCACCTTATCATCCTTCATCCCTACAGTAGCACACATTTGAGCTAGGTGTTGTTATACTGATGGGGAAACTGAAGTTCTGAGAGGTACAGTGGCCCACCCTCGATTTTGAACCCAACAGTTTGCCCCCTGAGTTTCCCACCACCATGGGATTTCTGAGTGGTGGGATTATGTGAGATTTGGGATTTTCTCTTTGTGCTTGGCATTTTCTCACCGACTCTGCTGGAGCCCAGCCTGATCCTCCTGAATCTACTAGGCCTCCCCAAGGAGGAGAATGACCATCAGGACCTAGTGGCATCTCCCTCAAGGATCCAGCTCTCTGGCTTGGTGCCTGTGGCTCAAGTGGCTAGGGCGCCAGCCACGTACACCTAGGGTGGCGGGTTCGAGTCCAGCCTGGGCCTGCCAAACAACAATGATGGCTGCAACCAAAAAAAAATAGCCGGGTGTTGTGGTGAGTGCCTGTGGTCCCAGCTGCTTGGGAGGCTGAGGCAGGAGACTCGCTTAAGCCCAGGAGTTGGAGGTTGCTGTGCGCTGTAATGCCATGGCGCTTTACCCAGGGGCACAGCTTGAGACTCTGCCTCAAAAAAAGAAAAAAAAAGGATCCAGCTCTCCACCCCAGAGCTGCCAGCTGCCAGGTGTTTAAAGTTTCAAAGTTATCTTGATTGCCCAGTGATAGCGAGGGGCCCTGCTGTCCAGGAAAGGATCCATTTCTCCAGTTCCATGTGCATCACCCCTAACTGGTTTTCTCTCTCAGGAGGCCCAGGGCAGGCCAGCTCCCTGGCCACCATGCAGGCCTGGCATGTGCAGCTCCCCTCCTTACCCCTATCCCTGGCTTGGGTTTCTCCCTTTGCAGCAGTTTGCAAGATAAGCAGTTTCTGCTTTGATTGGCCCAAGCCATGGACCCCTTCTCTTTGCAAAAAGTGTCCCCAACCCCACTCTGACTGAGCTAGTCACCAAAGGAAATAGCAGCAAGAACAATATTTACTAGTAAGCAGTGAATCATTCTGTGACACTGACATGCACCTTTGTTGACTTCTTGAGCTATTGTTTTTTGTTTGTTTTGCTTTGTTTTTGAGACAGAGTCTCACTCTGTGCCCTGGGTAGAGTGCTGTGGCATGATAACTCACAGCAACCTCAAACTCTTAAGCTCAAGTGATCCTTTTCCTCAGTTTTTCATTTTTAGTAGAGACAGGGTCTTGCTCTTGCTCAGGCTGGTCTCGAACTCATGAGCTTCAGCAATCCGCCCACCTTGGCCTCCCAGAGTGCTAGGATTATAGGCGTGAGCCACCATGCCCAGCCAGTCTTGAGGTATTGCTATACCCATTTTATAGATGAGGAAATTGAGGCTCAGTGAAGTACAGGGACCTATCTAGAGTAATAACCTAGTGAACAGAAGAAGAAAAATTAAAACACTCCAGGCTTAGAATATTGTTCTATCTGATTCCAGAATGGTTTGTGTGTGTGTGATGTGTATGTATGTGTGTGTATGCATATGTATGTATATGTGTATATATACACTTACTTTTTAACATATACACATAGGAAAAGGGCACAAGTCATAAGTATACCCATATGGTGAGGCTTCACACTGGACACACCATGTAACCAGCACCCAGATCTAAAACAGAACATTCTAGTCCCCACAGAAGCCTCCCTGTGTTTCTTTCCAGTCACCACCCACCTCCCAAGGGTAATTCCGACTTGGACTTCTAATAGGAAACCTGATCTTGAATTTGATGCAAATAAAATCACATAGTGTGCACTATTGTATATGGCTTCTCTCACTCAGCATTATGTTCTCGTCAGGTACAGCAGCACGTCATTCTCTTTGGTGGCTGCATTATATTCCCTTGAGTGAACATTCCATAATTCATTGACCCATTCTCCAATTGATAGAGATTTGTAGCGTTTCCAGTTTGGAGATGCTGTGAATGAAGCTGCTATGAACATTGTTTTTTATTATGATTTAATATGTATATAACATAAAATTCACCACTTTAAAAACTTTTTGAGACAGAATCTCACTTCGTCGCCCTTGGTAGACTGCTGTGGCTTCATATCTCACAGCAACCTCAAACTCTTATGCTCAAGTGATCCCCTTGCCTCAGCCTCGTGAGTAGCTGGGACTACCAGTACCTGTGACAACACCAGTTGTTTTTTAGAGACAGGGTCTCGGTATTGCTCAGGCTGGTCTTGAACTCATGAGCTCAGGTAGTCTATCTGCCTTGGCTTCCCAGAATGCTGGTATTATAGGCATAAGCCACCATGCCTGGCCTTTATTCACTTTTAATAGACTATTTTTAAGAGCAATTTTAGGTTCACAGCAAAATTGAGTGGAAAGTACAGAGGGTTCCTATTATACATATCCCTCAGTACCCATAGTACACACAGCTTTCCCTACCACCATCACCATCCTGCACTAAGGGCCACCTTCATACAGATAGCGAACCCATGTTGACACATCAGTATCACCCAAGGTGCATAGTTTACATTAGGGTTGTATATTCTGTAGCTTTTATATTTGTTTGTTTGTTTAATTAGAGACAGAGTCTCACTCTGTCACCCTGGGTAGAGTGCAGTGGCATCATAGCTTACAACAACCTCAAACTCTTGGCTTCAAGCAATCCTCATGCCTCAGCCTCCCAAGTAGCTGGGACTATAGGCGCCCACCATAACATAGATTTTCTATTTTTAGTATAGATGGGGTCTTGCTCTTGCTCAGGCTAGTCTCAAACTCCTGAACTCAAGCAATCCACCTGCCTCAGCCTCCCAAAGTGCTGTGATTACAGGTGTGAACCACCATGCCCAGCTTATTCTGTAGTTTTTAACAAATGTGTATGATGTGCATCTACCATTATTGTATCAAACAGAGGTAGTGTCACTGCCCTTAATATCCTCAATGTGCCCCCTGTTCATCTCTCCCTCCTCACTAATTCCCTGGCAACAGATCTTACTATATCCATAGTTTTGGCCTCAGGAGTGCTGGGATTATAGGCCTCGCCCAGCCTTGTTTTATTGTTTTGGTTTTTAATTGACAAATAATACTTGTATATATTCACAGGGTACATACTGATGTTTCTATGTGTAGTGATTAGATCAGGATAATTTTTCTTTCATCTCAATCATCTCAATCATTTAGCATTTCTTTATGTTGGGAACTTTCAATAGAATAAAGCTTCTGTAAGCATCCATATACAGGTTTTGTTTGGTTTTTTTTTGGAGACAGAGTCTCAAGCTGTTGCCCTGGGTAGAGAGTACCATGGCATCATAGCTCACAGCAACCTCCAACAACGACAACTGCAACAACAACAACAAAAAATAGCTGGGTGCTGTGGTGGGTGCCTGTAGTCCCAGCTACTTGGGAAGCTAAGGCAAGAGAATGGCTTACACCCAAGAGTTGTTGGAGGTTGCTGTGAGCTGTGATGCCACGGCACTCTACCGAGGGCAACATAGTGAGACTCTGTCTCAAAGAAAAAAAAACTTTTTTTGACTAGGCACAGTGGCTCATGCCTATAATTCTAGCACTCTGGGAGGCTGATTGCCTGAGCTCAAGAATTTGAGACCAGGCTCGGCGCCTATAGCTCAACCGGCTAAGGCGCCAGCCACGTACACCTAAGGTGGCGGGTTCGAATCCCCAGCC